TATACAGCAGTGTCCATAGTGATTAATGCCGCAATAATATTTTTACACTCACGTTTGAAACCATCGAAAGCGTCCAGGGGTCAACTGTCACCGCATAAAAATACCTTTGGAAATAACTGACAGGTGGAAGTCCCGCCCACTCAGGCTGTCAGATGAAGGATAAAAATGGATATCAGTTGCTATGACAACGAAACTGCCTCTCGCACAAGAATAGATTATGCCTCTCTTCTTTGTGCCAGCACAGATAATAAGCCTCTGCTAGTCCCCGCTTCTGCCTGTCATGCAATCATCTTTCCCCTTTTCAAAACGTGAGACTTTTAAACTGGGCGACGCGTTTGATTGAAAGCTGTTTTGCTTTCGATAATAAATGGCAGGCTTTTAAATGTAACGTGTTGCATTCATCCGTTTCAAAGACATCGCCTCATTCATCAAAGGCGCTTCTGCCTCGTTTCTCCCGCATAATAAAAAATGATGCCGGTCATAAATCTCTCAGAAACAGGACTGTCTGTTGGTATGCAAGACATCGTGCACGTGTAATTCTTTGCAGTGTTAAAACTTTAATATACTTTGATATAGTATAAAACTAGTGTAAAACCAGGGGTGCAGTCATGGGGGAGAAACATGGGGGTCAAAGGCACCACTCCTCTGGTCACCCAACACAAACAATGTTAGTGGCTATTATACACTTGTTGCATCAAATAACCTATTTTATCCCACTTTTAGAACTTTTTTTGCAGAAGCATTTGAGCAGTGCTTAACTGCAGAAATACAACTGCAGCTATTATGTTTGCTCAGTTAAACAATAGAATTGGAACATGCTAAGAGATTAAAAAGAAACTTGACATGTTTATGACCTGTAAAAATGTTTTTCGTGTGTTCTTAAGGTTACATTTGAAAAAGTAGAAAACCTCTCTGGGTACTGAACCCTTAGGATTCATCAGACAAGGATTTAGGAGCCTAATTTTATAAATAAAACTGAATTTAATTGAATTATGTTATCTGGCTGGATTTTTTCACCAGAAAAATCCCAGTGAGCTTCCTGTATTCCAAGAAGACAAAAAGGAGGACCTTCATATGCACTGATTACTTTCCACTCATATGAATCTTTCAGCCTCGTTACACCATTTTTAGTTTTTTTTGTGTAAAATGGATGTCGTGAAATAAAACGTCCGTCAGCACTGATTTCTGTCAGACCACAGCTCACCCACAGTGTGGATGGAAAAATGAAACTTCAGCGAGCTTTGCATTAACAGCTCAGCGCCACAGGGCTTTTTGTGGGTTTTGCCAACACGCTCATAATGATAGTTCCTGTCAGCCGAGGAGCACTGGTTGACAACAAATCCTCTTCTACTGAGGAAGGGCCGAGTTGCATCACTTGTGGTCCCAGGAGCCTACAGAGCTGTTGTGAACTGAGCTACAGTTGAGAGCTGTTCTCAAAATACTAATATAACACATTTCAGATTCATTTCAAATACCATCGAACTTGAATGGATTCAAGAAACTGTGCTTTAAAGGATACACCTAAATGATATCTTACAACCCCTGTTATTTGTTTATATAGCAATTCCCAATGCTGACATGTTAACTAGCTTCACTGAAAAGATATAGAAAGACAGAATCCGACTTTCTACTAGGTCTGAAATATGAAATAAACACTTTGTAAAATACATTGTTTCCCTATGAAAGCATGAAAAACGGTGACCTCGGAGATGGAGCCAATGTGGCAAGAAAACTAGTTCTTTGAATGAGAACCTGAGGCTGAGTCAGTCCCATTAGACTAGATGTTAGGAAGCCCTGTAACAGCAGAAATAAACATGTTTATAACCTGCTACAGAAAACCTGGTGAGTTTTAGTCTCTGGTCTATAATTTAATTTCCTGCTTCCCTTCACTTGTTTAAATTATATTAAGCATTGAAGTGGATTATAATGCGCAGGAATGCTCTGGCTGCCAGGTGGGTTACATGCAGCTGTCTCTTAGGTGTAACCTCAGCAAATTCACTCTGAACTGATTCAGTGAACTGGATCTTTGAACCATATTTGTGGTGTCTGCCATTTAGAGCACTTTAATGCAATTATTTGACATAATTTGTTTGATTGTTGTACGGCTCATTGTACTAATAGAACATCAAGAGGTCTGTCTTCCAGTTTTGATGAGGGAAATTCTAGTGGGTTGAGTTTTTTTGGGTGATATACCACCAATAGCAGGTTTTTGTGTCTATGTGATCCACCCATACATTCTTTGGATGCACCATGCTAACCAAGCCAGTTAATGTTAGCTAATAACTCCACCCTCATCTCCCAATCCAGTCTTTAAGTCTGACGTCATTAGCTGTTTCTGGGTCCAAACTCTGCTTCAGGTCCCAAAGTAAAACAAACACTGGCGCAACACACAGTTACAAACTGTCTAAATTCTTTCATATTTAATAAAATGATCAGTGTGGCTGCTCTGCCTGGCGTAACAGTTAAATTTAAAATCTGGGAATCCATGAAAACAGAGTTTATTAAATTTAACAGAATTAAAAATTTTATCAGGAAGTTAGCTCGCTAGTTTCCAACTAAACATAATATAGCATGTTCTGACTGAGAGATTTCTGAAAAGATTAAAATGTACAGCTCTGCTATCACTTCAGACATAAATGAAGACAGAAAACTAAACAGTAGTCACGTTTAAAGTTTTACTTTAGTTGGGCTAGCTGGTATATAATGATGTGCTACTTTGTGGCTAGCTATGCAGCTATGGTTAACATAATATAAACATTGAAGCTGGAGGATGAACGATAACTTAAGGGTTCCCAGTGGTTAGGGACAACCATGCTGTAAATGGACCAAACTTCAGTCAGGAGAACAACTGAGATAATCCATCCACAATACGAGGTTAGTCATTAATATACTGCTGCATGGGCTGGGCTGTAGTTACATTGTAAGGTCTTAAAAACGGAGCTTTAAAATGAACAGCAGCAATAAAAACCAACAGAGGCTGACAGTGATCACTGACGGTTTTTAGGGGCTTGTTGAGATTAAATAGAACAAGATACAAAACATTAAAACATGATAAAAACACAACAGCCATATTAAACGCAGAGTAGTTTGGACCCGGAAGCAGGGCTCTTACGTCATCACTTAAAGACTGGATAAACATCATTACTGATCCCGAAAGATCACAACTTTAATGTAAAAATAGTCTTTAAAAAGTAGCGCTTTCTATGCAGAATTTTGGCCCATTCTTTTTCTCAATGCTGCTTTAGTTCATTGAGTTTCTCTAAAGGTCCCATCACTGGGTTTCACTCAGATGATGTTGCTTGGGATCATTTGCATGTTGTATGACCTTATTTGGGCAAAGCCCCTGCTGTGAGCCAGATGGCCTCATAGTCAACTCAATATACATCAACATTTTTCCTAATTGTGGTGCTGTGCATTACAGCCAAGCATCTCCACTTTTGTTTTTCCAAAGAAGATTGTTCATTGTGCATTCAATTAGCAGCACCTGGCTGCTACTTACCATCTTAAATCCTATAGAAGCAGTATACTTAGCTTTTTGCAGTACTGAATAGAGTCCTGTGAAAACTTTAACATGACTGTGCAGGCTCAGGAATTAACTATATATGGTGGTTCAAAACTTGTGAAGGCGTTTTACAATCCACTGTTAATTTTAGCTCTTTAAATAGCAAGTTTAAAACACACCAACACAGTGATTAAAAGTACCCAGAACTTATATAACAACACAAAAATAAATTGAACATTTGTACATCAGTAGACTGAAAGGTTGGAACTTAAAGGACTAACAAAAGTAGCCATCTTCAGTGTCTTTCTTCACTAAGCGCTTTACAGTTAAAAAGAAAAATAAGCAGCTACGCAGTTCATTCTCTTCATTTATGTTCTTGTCTCCAAAGTCAGGACAAAAACCAGATATAAAGAACTGAAATAATGTTTTATTAAAAAGTGCACTGAATCAAGCATCCGCCTGGTGAACAATCCCTTTATCTGGAATGTTTAAGACTCTGTCAGGATGTTGGAGAAATATGAATTATAGCCAAGGACATAATGAAAATAAATTGTAAAAATCATAGATTTTGACTCCATGCAAAGTTTGTTTCAACAAACAAATCAAGAGAAATTAAGTTAAAATACCCATGTGAAGAAAAAGTATATCACGTCATGAAAAAACTTACACAGAGTATCATGTATGACTGCTGATATGGGGCTGAACATGACTTTTCTCACACAATATACAGTAATCATGAGCAAAACAGGTTTAACAATACATTTTTCTCGTTCTTGGAGTCCAGCATCCTCTTACTGTTCACAGATCAAAGGACATTTTTGCAGGATTTTAACCACCACCAAGATACTTCCCTAACTTTAAAGACTGAGTTACATGAACATTTGTATTATACAAGAGCAATAAACCCATGAAATTATTCAGATTTTACCCCTGATTATAAATAGATGTACTAAACTAAAAGTAAAGTAATAAAGGCGTGAATAAATACTCTGGTATTAGCTGGTTGGTGTTTCTGTGAAACAGTCTCCTGCCTATAACTGACATCTCATATATATATATTTAATGGAAGGACTCAGAAGAGACTAAAATAGAACAAAAAGGTGAGTAAACATCCAACTTACATTTTAAAAAATGAATGTTCATGTTGTTTAGTTTCTGCTGGTGTGTAAATACGCAAAGTGTTTGCTAGCATTATAGATTTATACTTCTGTGTTGAATCTCTGCAGAGCCTACAACTAAAGCATGATTTAGACTTCCGCGGGAAATCGACGTCCTAACTTCTGTAGTAACCGGAAACTCCTTTTATCCCTATTCCATATACCTTCCATGCCAGTCAAGTCATTGCGTCATGCAGCAACCTGATGTGTAGTTACGTACATGGGTTGCCGTGTAGGGTTAAAACGGGGTTCCAAATATGGCGTAACTTACAATGTTACGGAGCCTCACAAGGGACATTGGGGGGCGCGGGGGGG